AAAATGATTAACAATTGAATGATTACTTTAATTGTTTGTCAATATATTTGATGTCTTGTATTGAGAAGTGGATGATTGATGGTATGGCTCTCGGGCCGAAAAGTCGGTGTTATGTTTAGTCAACTGATCCGATTGGAAGTGCATATTGGGTGCACCGGTGGGCACAACCATCTGATCATATTCGGCCACTTTTTTGCTGTAATTTATATAAATAGGCATTAGTTTGAGATAATAGACAACAAGTGATGATTGTAGACAAACCCGAAGCATATGAGAACACGTGACTTAATCCATGGGTAGGCCCTGAATTCAGAAATGCCGGGAAATAGTCCCGGATTGACGGCTCCCATGTAGTACCAGAGGAATGTCAATGTTATGAATGCAGACAAGGCGTACCCCCACTGAACCAGAAACATGATAACCACTTTAATGATGGCCCCCATTATGATTATCCATCGGTTTATTAGACATGAATACCACACGTTTTGTTTGCTTTTGATTTCATTGGGATCTCCTCTGGGCTCCTGTCCCACAGAGCTATCGGTGCTGTCGAATGACTCGTCGGCACTACTGGAGCCGCTGTTGTCGTGCGTTGTGTCCGCCGGACCTTTCGGGGGTTGGACTGACCGGTCCTGAGATGAGGAGCGGCTACTGCTCTGACTACTCACCTGACGCTTCACTTTAATGTGTTTTGTTTGCACTCTTTCGGGGAACAGACGGTCCAAGTCATTGCTCTGAAGACGCAACCAATTGAATGTCAAATGAAATTGCAATCCATAGGCACATACACCTCATACCTTAACAGATCCGTAGTCCGAGTGCTTTGAGCTCTTGTTCTTGAAGGAGGTGTCGAACGTAGGACTCGTCACTTCCGCCGAAGCCATAAATCTGGACTCTCTGTTGATTTGAATGTCGAAAGTCATGGCCAGTGAGAAGTAGGCGTACTCTACGGTTGGGAACAAATGTGTTTTACCAGGACTATCGCAATACTTTAATACCCTAAACCTACCCACTGTTGCATATGTCAAGAGATATAAAATGGTGACAATCGGCGCCAATAAATTAATATTGCCTGATTATTAGGGATTAAAAGTTACAGTGATTTATATATTTTTGATTTAATTTATTTAAATTAAATAAATTACAGTAATTTTAGCAGTGATTTTGTATTTTGAAAATATTGATTATTGAATATCATTGAATTCTGTATGTAATATTATTTCTAATTTATGCTTAATTTATTCAATTTAAACATTGTAATTTATTTAATTTTAATTATTTAGACCCCTATCTATAAATTAGATTATTTTCAACTAATTATTTAACTCAATTATTTTCAACCTTTTTGTAATTTATATTTTTATCAGTGTAATTTACTGTAATTTATTTAATTTACGTAATGTAATTTTTGTAATTTTAATTTTTGAAATCCCTACCGATCATTATGAATATGAATATTACGATTGAGAACAGTATTAACGCATTGACGGGAACTGTTTGGTTAAAGAAGACGTGAATATTGAAAACTAAAATATTTTTCAAAAATCAACAAGGCAATTAGACCTTTATTGGGTCCGCGACCCACAGCAAGGAATCTCATGACAGGTATTATATTCTCGTTCGCAATGTTTTGTATAATCCTTGGCGTCGCGTATAAAGAGCCCAAACTGTAAGAGAGGGCCGATATGTAGAGACCGAGTAATAGAAATACTCCGACCGATGAGGCCTTTTGTGCGATCATGTAGTCAGTGAGTAGAGCCGAGCGCAGACATGTGGCTGAATGGATGACAATGTTAGACAAACTGGAACTGATTACTGTATGTCCGCAATGCTTACCTCCCAATCCCAATGCAAATGATAGATACAAGAAAAGACTGGTTCCGATGGCACTGAAAGTGCCAATGGGTATACTTTTTCCCGGTTTATGCAGATCTCCACTCATATTAATTCCGGCCATAACTCCGGTCACCGCCGGGAAGAACACTCCAAATGCATTGAATAAACTGACTTTCGGTTCATTTTCATTTGGTTCCCAATTATTCTCAATATTCTTAATACTATAACCAATGACACCGTTATCTTTATAAACAATTTATATGACATTAATAACAGAATAAGAGGTGAAATGAGAGATAATGAATATTACTGGGATCGTATCGTATGAAGACTCCGACCACAAAATCAATGGCCGACAGAAATAAGAAGAATAGGAGAATGAATTGCAAACGTATAACCCATTTGACTCCCAATACGTTTATGGACAACAATAGCACCACAAGACCCACACCAATACCTCTCTCCACCCAAATATCGTTAGCATTCAAGAGTTGAGACAATGTTTCGGCAAAACCCATGACATGCAGAGCACAGGAAACAGCCTGTCGTCAGAGGGTTTGGAGTATGGAATCACTTATAGGTAGACATAATATGCAAGACATGTACATCTACTCTAATCTACTCACTTGACCGAAGCTGTATATTATGCAAACGGCTGCCCCTATTCTGGAGCCCAATACTGTACTGATGAGTGCGTGAACATTACCACGGTTACTTCTCTCACAAATGCCAATCGCCGCCAAAACAGCCACACAACAGATGACAACACTACTCAAGATTATCAGAATCGCAAATCCTATGCCAGCGTTTCCCTGTATTTTGTACAATCATATCGTATATCATTTCAATTCTGTCATAATTAATATAATTTATTTTCTAGAAATGGATAACAAATCATCCCAACCTAAAATGTTAACTTTAATTCATACATTAGAAGCTATAAAAATATTTTAAAGACTATTTAATAAATTATTCGTAGATGGTTTAGCTAGTTTTATATTTAATAATGCATATTTTCTATAATCAACTATAGTTAATACAGTACTACTGTACAATGTAATGCATTTTTACTGAACATCTACTGTATTCATTAACTTTGATATACCGTACTGCACCTTACAATAAAAGACTTGAATATGTGGGCGAAACTCATTTAAACTCAAAATCTATGTATAATATTGGTATTCAAATGTTATATCTTTTAATCGGATTTTATTAACATAAGAAAATATTTTAAATAAGCTTATTCTTAAACTTTTGCATGATTTCTAAAAGGTTTCAAAAAATAAGTAATAAATTGATACGATATTTATAGCAAATTATATTTTAAGTGAACAATATGCGAACACAAGAATATTCTTGTGCTTGTATTCATTTATATAGAATTAGTTTTTTAAATAATCACTTAATGAAATCACATCCATATGTTGGCGTCATTAATCAATTTATAAATAAACGATTGTTTTTGACATATAATCGATTGCTTACCACAAGCCATCCGGCCCTCAAGAACGTGATGACACCAAACAAATGGATAACACAAGAGGTATAGACTCCATCCCACGTCCCAAACAGTATGGGTTGCGATAAAAAGAAATTCGATTTCCACCACTGCTTCCCAAAACTGGCCTATAATTAAAGAAATTTTGTAAATAAAAAGTTCATTAAATGCATGAAAAATGCTTTTAGAAGAAGTGCTTTAAACGAAAGAATGACCTGATCTTCGAGAAAGAGCTCATTGTGTGCCAACCCCTGCATCAGATGGGATGTGTCGGCACCTGATTCTAGTCCTGTCCTCTGTTCATGAGAGGAATTGGTGTCTAAGCCATATTGAGCCCAATTGATGTTTTTTGGCGAGGAATTGTCACTTTGTTTTGTGTTTGACATTATTTAGCAGTCATTAGAGTAGAAAATATAACTCATATTTAAAGCTATCGTTTCTATGGCTAACTGGATATCAAAACATAGGTATTAAAGGCCACCATATGTTAGGCTACGAAACCATTGATTCTTTAGCCAAGAATTATAAACGGAAATATAAAATGAATGGACTTATAAACCAATTCTACTCTACTCTTCACTACTCTAACCCTAACTCTAACAGTTAGATAACAGTATTACAGCACATGTCAACCAATTGATGGCAGACTTTCACTACATTCACAGCCACCAAACACTACGAATAGACTCCAGATATCGATTCAATTCAGTGTCTGCTCTCACTTTTGCGCAAACATTAGTTCATGTCTCCACTCTATCACCTGTTCTCACATTATTCTTGTAATTCTTATCTCGTAATTCTGTTGCCATACATATAGTTATGGCAACAAATTTATTCTTAAATTTATTGCCACAAAAACTATTTTTTAATGATTTAATGTTCTTTTTACAGCAATTTTAATAAATAAAATTAATTTGTATAAAAAATGTTTATTTCAAATAAATTCCATAAATGTCTTTAAAATGTAAGTCATGTGTAACACTTCAAAACTTCTGGCGTTTTGATGACATTCCAGTGGTTTCGATGAGTTTTTGGTCACTTCTCTCCTGTTCCTGACATATGCGGGCGTACTGTTCAAACGGAACTGTCTCTTCGCCCATCTCTTCATCCAGCGATCGCTGATACTCTTTAGAGTCGGGATTATTGCTCTGATTTCGACACAACTCCAGCTTCTGCTCAATGGCTCTGACCTGTTCTCTCTGTGGTGTCGACACCGACGTTATCATTGACCACAACTCTAGCGAACAAATAAACCATTCAAACCATTAATTCAATCATCCCTTATATAGTAGTTGTAACCATTATTCTCGTCATTACTTCTCATAACTTTCTGCAACTGTTTTATTTCGTTACTTCTGTCCACAAATAATAAATCCGTTAAATATCTAAAAGATGAACATATGATTGAATGCAGTCATCAAATAGACAATGGAGTGAATGGAGACATACGGATCCAAATTGATTTCTAGTTTAGAGGCCGCGTAAACCACAGCTGATAATGCAATCTATAATCGATAATCAATCATATTTTCAATCAAAAACAAATCACATATACTGTAAACCATGAATACCTGGGAAGGACTGAACAGAAAGCAGGCGTCTGTCGAAAGCGACAAATCAATAAAACTATCGATATTTTGTCTCAACTTCTCTGGATCTCCACATTGAGGGTAACGGGTCTATGGGTTAACAGACAAACAGTGGCTTTAAAATAACGAAACACTCAATAGTAGTGGTAATCAATGGTATGGATTGCCTTGAGGTCTATGAGGAAGCCCTCGATGGGTCGCAACGGGTTGTAAACATTCAAATGATATCTCAATTGTTGCATAAGAAGCAACTCGTTGTTGAGGATCACGTCTGTGGCCTTAGCTCTGTCTCCCTTGACATTCGCCACGAACTGTTGCATCGATACATTGAATTCCTCCACTTTGGCGGCCAAGTAGACACACGTGACGATTATGTGCTTCGGATGGAAGTCCATCACTGAGTTGTTCAGATAGAAGCGCTTGAAGTACTGAAACGCCGTTCCCTTCGAGTCAAACACATGTCAGCATTAAAGACAACATATCAGTGAATGGAGGGATCAGATGAAGACATACGACAACAGACTTAGGCATCGGTGGCGAGAATTTGCGACAAAAGTCGCGCAAAATTGATTCGTAATGTTTGGTGTGAACGGCCTCTTCGGCGGGACTCAAATACTTGTCGTAGACGTCATCCTTTGGATGCAACGCATAAATGAGACAATGAGTGAAGACATGATAATTGGTGTCAAATACCAGATCATCGGTGACTCTGTGGCGGATGAACCGCTGATTGGCTTCCGTTCGCAATTGATTCAACTCTTCCTCCGATCCATACATCCAGTGCTTCAGTTGAGTGGACGTCGAGAACATTGTGTCCGATGTGTGGGCACTACAGGACTGACAGGTGAGGGAACGGTAGGTGTGATACAGTATGACAGCACCGGTGGACTCACTCCATGCAGACAACACTCATTCAAAACAATGCAAAACCAAAACATATCATAAATAACGTGCAAAAGTATTCAAAACTTTTTTATCACTCATTTGATCCGAAAGATGTCTTTGAGTGACTCAACAAGTTATCAACGAATGGTTTCACTGGTATTCAAGACTATTCATGGTATGAGACATACTGTGCTGTATATACTGTAATAGTAAGACAGGTCACTCTATGTAATGACAATACAGTATCATATATGATGTGAATGTATTTTGTTCACTCATTCGTGTCTCTATAGCTTTAACCATATATTGACAATCATTAACAAACTATGAGACAAATGTTGCAATTGTATGATATGTTTACTTTTCTATCAATTGTTTAATTGTCTGCCATTTCCTGTCCATACAAACTCGTCTCTATACTTATGAATCTATTCAAAGACTAATTTTGGCTAAAATATATTAATTATATATTCATTTAGAAGTTCTAACTTACTTGTTAGAACAATGCAAAATGACCAAGGTTATAGAAATTGAGTTTAACTCTATGAAATTTACCAATTTATACAAAAATACATAGCATAGCATTAATATTAGTAAAAAGTGACTAAAAACGAAAATATTCAAAATTTGAGTGCATTATTGAGTACTTAAAAAGAAGCTTGTTCAGTGATACCATGAACAAGGCTCAATACAGTGATACTCAATAATGGTATAGTTGCTGGTAGATACAGTATGAACCACTGTGACTTAAAAGCGGGACCTAAGAACCCGCATAACCCGCCAGCACATATCTATAATAAACACATGAAATGCTGAAAAGCAATATAATGTACAGGGTGTTAACAAATAACTAAATAATTTTATTCAAATGATCTAATTTCCAAATCATTTAGATAAAATTACGTAATGAGATGGTCAGATGAGAACTAAATTAACTAAATTGTTAACTGAATTAAGCACTTAGTGAACAAAAATATGAAATGGCTAAACTACATTAAAAACTTGATAGGGCCAACAATTAAGTTCATAAATTAGTTAATATAGTTAACAATTTAGCTAATTTTGTTAATAAATTGTCTGATTTAATTTATAATTTAGTTATTAAAGTAAACAATTTAGTTGATATTGTTCACAATTTGCTAATTTCGTTAACTAATTGATTAACTTAGTTCGTGTTTAATTTAGTTTCACCTATTTCATAATTTAGTTCACTAATTGCTTAATTCAGTTAACAAATTAAGCATACCACTACTATTGAGTGTTTCGTTATTTTAAAGCCACTGTTTGTCTGTTAACCCATAGACCCGTTACCCTCAATGTGGAGATCCAGAGAAGTTGAGACAAAATATCGATAGTTTTATTGATTTGTCTCTTTCGACAGACGCCTGCTTTCTGTTCAGTCCTTCCCAGGTATTCATGGCTTACAGTATATATGATTTGTTTTTGATTGAAAATATGATTTATTATCGATTATAGATTGCATTATCAGCTGTGGTTTACGCGGCCTCTAAACTAGAAATCAATTTGGATCCGTATGTCTCCATTCACTCCATTGTCTATTTGATGAATGCATTCAATCATATGTTAATCTTTTAGATATTTAACGGATTTATTATTTGTGGACAGAAGTAACGAAATAAAACAGTTGCAGAAAGTTATGAGAAGTAATGACAAGAATAATGGTCACAACTACTATATAAGGGATGATTGAATTAATGGTTTGAATGGTTTATTTGTTCGCTAGAGTTGTGGTCAATGATAACGTCGGTGTCGACGCCACAGAGAGAACAGGTCAGAGCCATTGAACAGAAGCTGGAGTTGTGTCGAAATCAGAGCAATAATCCCGACTCTAAAGACTATCAGCGATCGCTGGATGAAGAGATGGGCGAAGAGACGGTTCCGTTCGAACAGTACGCCCGCATATGTCAGGAACAGGAGAGAAGTGACCAAAAACTCATCGAAACCACTGGAATGTCATCAAAACGCCAGAAGTTTTGAAGTATTACACATGACTTACATTTTAAAGACATTTATGGAATTTATTTGAAATAAACATTTTTTATACAAATTAATTTTATTTATTAAAATTGCTGTAAAAAGAACATTAAATCATTAAAAAATAGTTTTTG